AAAAATGGGAGAAGATATTCGCAAATGGTATATCAGATAAAGGGCTAATATCCAAAATCTAAAAGAACTTATCATACTCAAAACCAAACAACAAATAATCTAATCAAGAAATGGGCAGAGGACATGAACAGACATTTCTGCAAAGAAGACATCCAGATGGCCAGCAGACACATGAAAAAGTGCTCTACATCACTCGGGATCAGGGAAATACAAATCAAAACCACAATGAGATACCACCTCACACCAGTCAGAATGGCTAAAATTAACAAGTCAGGAAATGACAGATGCTGGTGAGGATACAAAGAAAGGGGAACCCTCCTACACTGCTGGTAGGAATGCAGGCTGGTGCAGCCACTCTAGAAAACAGCATGGAGGTTCCTCAGAAACTTGAAAATAGGGCTACCCTACGACCCAGGAATCACACTACTGGGTATTTACCCTAAAGATACAAATGTAGTGATCCAAAGGGGCACATGTACCCAAATGTTTATAGCAGCAATGTGTATAATAGCCAAATTATGTAAGGAACCTAGACTCTCCATCAGCAGATGAATGGATAAAGAAGATGTGGTATGTATGTATGTATATGTATAATGGATTATGCAGCCATCAAAAGAAATCAAATCTTGCCATTTGCAATGAAGTGGATGGAACTAGAGGGTATTATGCTGAGTGAAATAAGTCAATCAGAGAAAGACAATTATCATATGATCTCCCTGATATGAGGAATTTGAGAGGCAAAGTGGGGGTTTCAGGGGTAGGGAAGGAAAAAATGAAACAAGATGGGATTGGGAGACAAACCATAAGAGACTCTTAATCTCACTAAACAAACTGAGGATTGCCGGATGTAGAGGGATACAGAGAGGGTGGTTGGGTTATGGACACTGGGGAGGGTATGTGCTATAGTGAGTGCTATGAAGTGTTTAAGTCTGACGATTCACAGACCTGTACCCCTGGGGCAAATAATGCTTTATATGTTAATAAAAAAACTAAAAATAAAATTTAAAAATGGGGAGGGTATGTGCTATAGTGAGTGCTGTGAAGTGTGTAAGCCTGATGATTCACAGACCTGTACTCCTGGGGCTAATAATTCATTATATGTTAATGAAAAAAATAGTTGATATATTTGGTTGGCTACCAGCTTCTAATAAGATAATAGTTTCATGGCTTATATTTATTTTCTTCCATGCATATAAAAAGAATCCGAGTAACACATATCAGTGGTTCTCAAAGTGTGTTCTGTAGTCCTTGCAGGTGGGAATATGGGGAGGGGTCCTTGAGAGCATTTCAAGTTGTACATCATGATAATGGTATGATATTATTTACTTTTTTCACTTGGTCGACATTTGTACTGATGGTAAGAAGCAATGGTAGATGTAATTGTTGGCTCCTTTGAAGATGTCAAGGAAGTGGCACCGATCTAAGCAGTCATCACATTCTTCACTGCCACTGACTCATGCTAAAAATGTCAATTTCACTTTCATTAAATAGTAAAATAATTTTATTAAATCTCAATGACTGAATGATATGTGTGGCAAAGTATGTATAAAGCACTTCTGCTGTATACTTGAGCACAAGGGCCGTCCAGAAGATTTGGTTGCTCAAACCAAAAGCACTGTGCAAGTGATTAACTTGTGAGCTGAAATAGTTGCTTTTCCCATGGAACATTATTTGTACTTGAAAAGACGAGTGACAGACAAAAACTATGATTGATCAGACTGAAGTATCCAGCAGAAGTGCTCCCAAAATTATAACAAAGTCAGACTGTCACTTCAAGGAACTGATAGTATTTGTTACCAGTGATAAAATTTCAGCTTTCAAATGAAAATTACAATTTTGAAAACTGTATCTGCCACTGTGAGCTGACCAACTTCCTAATACTTCAAGCCATTTATGGTGGGGTAGATGTTATAAAGGAATACGATATGATATTGTATAATGTAATGTGTCAATATCAGGAAGATCTGCATAACACAGTGTACTGCTATTTTCCAAGTAACCAATATTTGATATTAGAAAATCATGTATGTGTAAAAGATCCATTTAAAATCCACTTAAAAGATCCATTTAAAACCCAAGACAGACACATGGATTTTAATGTAACAGAATACGAAAAGTACATTGATCATTTCATACTCTGCAATGCAACTCATCTTTAAACAACAACTTGTCAAACTTTGGTGTGATATAAATATCAGGGCATATCAATGATCACTTTTTTTAAAATCCATGATCACTTAAAAAAAAACTGTTAAATACTCCCATTTCTCCAATTACATATAAGTGAGAGGAGGGATTTTCTTTATCTTCTTCAACCAAAACAAAAAAGTAATCAAATGCAGAAGGAGATGTAAGAATCCAGCTATTTTCTGTTAAGTTACACATTTGTTTTGCACAAGTGTGAAACAATGCCACTCCTAGGATAGTTTTTATAAAAAACAAAAACAGAAATCAAATGTTGAAGACGATATAGAGAAGATGGGACTCTTGTTCACCGCTGACAGGAATGTAAAATGGTACAAGTGCTATGAGAAACATAGTGGTTTCTCAAAAAATTTAATACAGAATTATCATATGGATCCACTAATTCTAAGTATACCTGCCAAAGAACTGAAAGGAGAGATTCAAAAACAGATTTGTGCACATCTGTGATCATAGCAGTATTATTTAAAACAGCCAAAAGATGGAAATCCAAATGACCATGGACAGGTGAATAAACAAAAAAAAATGTGGTATATTGATAACAATGGAATATTACTCAGCCTTAAAAAGGAAGAAAATTCTGACAAGTTACAACAGGGATGAACCTTAAAAACATGCTAACTCAAATAAGCCAGTCATAAAAAAATAAATATTGCATGATTCCACTTGTATGAGGTACCTAATACAGTCCAAATCATAAAGACAGAAAGAATAGTGATCACCAGGGATGGGAAAGAACGAAAGGAGGAGTTAGTTTGGGATAATGAGTAAGAACTGGAGATGGTTAATGGTAATGGTAATGGTTGTACAACTATATGAATGTTCTTAATGTCACTGAATTGTGCATTTTTTTTTTAAGATTTTATTTATTTATTTGACAGATAGAGATCACAAGTAGGCAGAGAGGCGGGCAGAGAGAGAGAGGAGGAGGCAGGTTCCCTGCTAAGCAGAGAGCCCGATGTGGGGCTTGATTCCAGGACACTGGGACCATGACCTGAGCCGAAGGCAGAGGCTTTAACCCACTGAGCCACCCAGGCGCCCCGAATTGTGCACTTAAAAATAATTAAAATGGCAAATTTTATGTTACGTATATTTTACAACCATAAAAAGAACCCACAAAAACTGAAGGAAAAAAAAGAAACCAAACAGCAATTCCACTTTCTTACTGATTTTTTTTGGGAGGAGTTTTGGAAAAGTTATTTTTCATTAAAAATGTTATTTGTGCCGGTAATGAGTTTATTACATTTTTTTTTACATAAACTAATACTTTAAAAATCCCTCAATTTTCATTTCTAATATGGTAAATATGGAGAGTTATAACCAACATAAACAGAAGCTCTTAGGTCCTCAGTAATTTTTGCAAGGTAAAGGGGTCCTGAGACTAAAAAGTCTGAGAAGCGCTGTCTTGCACAAAATTTATTCTCTTCTCACACCTGCATTATGTGAGTATCTTCATTTGTCCCAACAAATAGATGCATTTGAAGCTGTATCACTTGCAGTCTGCAGACTAAAAGGACAGTGTGAAATATGGTAAAAATCATCACATTATCTCTTTATATACTGTCCCTTGGAAGCACCATAATTACAGGGACTGAGCAACACAAAGCTCCACACAGATAAGTGGTCATATACAATAGAAAACTGTCAAAAAGCTCAAATGTTGAACATTTTCCAAAGTAGTTCTGTAAATATCTAGCAAGAAACACATATTTCCTTTTTTTTTTTTTCTGTTGGATCGTCATTAGGATTTACAGTTCCAGGCTGGATTTGGGGATGGAGGTGGTAGAGGCATTGTTTCCGAAAACCACTCCATCTAGTGCATCCGTGCAAAGAATTTAATTCTCTCACCATCTTGCTACTGGTCTGTGGCAGAGGGGTGTGGCTTGGGAGCTAGGAAGCAATCCAAAACAGCAGCTGAGGCTGCCCCAAACCGTGTCCTAGCAAAAATTTCCACCATTTTGGGCCAAGTCAATTTGCCCCAGCAAGAGGCCTAATGTTTTATGGGGAAGAGGTAAATAAAAAGGAAATTAGAGAGCATGGACGGAAATAAGCAGCAAAACCATAACGGTTTCACGTGCGTGTTTGTTAAACGATTTGTATGCTAATGATATGCGCGAGGGGCAAATTAGAATCGCTATTCCTGAGTCTACAGCTGCCGGCACTTTTAATAAGAGGTCTGCAGTTCTGGATGCGGGACAGAAGTCAAATGCTTTTCTTATCCGAACCATCTTTCTGCATTCATTTTGGGCCAGGCCTGCGACCAGTCTCGCGGACTGCAGCTGAGACACTCCCAAACAAAGGGAATGAATGTCCTCCCGAGGAAGAGGAGGAGGGAAAGGTGGCCCTAAGTGGCCGCGCCAGGTGTCCCTCAGGGTAGAGCATGCAACCACGGGGATGAAAGTCTCAGGAGCGTCGGAGGGGTGCGCTCGGGAAAGGCTGACCACGGGCACCCGGCACAGACCGGACCACGCCCGGCCCACAGTCAAGGTTAACCCGCGCACGGGAGGTACCTGTGGAGGCCTCGCACAGCCGAAAGGCACTGGGCGATCATGGGACGGCCGAGAGGCGGCTGCGGGCGCGTTGTCCTCCGGTTTCGGGTGGGGGAGCCGAGAGTCGGCCTACAGGAGGAGGCAACAGCTGCAGCTGCGACCAGCCCTGTCCGCGCCCTCCCACGTGCGGCAGCCCCACGCCGGCGCCCAGTTCGGCCCCGCCCCCCCCGACTTGCGCCCCGCCCCGCGCGCCTTGCGCCACCTGGGGGGCGGTTCTGGCGAGACCCAGTGGCCGGGAGCCCAGCGCGCAGCCGGGTGGGCTGAGGGGCGGCGGCTGCTTGGGAGCCGGGGAAGTTTGGGCGACCGTGGGCAGTGCTGCCATCCGGAGCCAGGTTGAAGCCGGAGGACCAGGGGGCGGGCGTACCGGCTTACGGACGCCCCCAGGCCCGCTGCCACTGTGTCGCGTCCTCTCGCCTGGTAAGGGGCTTCTGTCTGGGATGGGTGCGTCTCCCACCGCCCAAAGCTGGGGCCTGCACCGCGCACCCGCAGCAAACCCCGTCTGGGCCAAAGCGAGGCCCGGGTACTGAAGGGAGGGAGAAGGAGGTCGATATCCTCTGGGGAGAAGCCTGGAGGAGGTTGAATATCTTCGTTTCCCCTTTTCTTTCTTTTCTTTTTCTTTCTTTCTTTCTTTTTTTTTTTTTTTTTCCCACCTTCTGCCCTGGACCCTATTTAGCACTTGCAACCCCATGGCCTAAAGCCTGGGCTTGCCTTTAAAATAAGCCCAGAAATAATAAACATCCTGGCGGCGGGTACCACACCCTGGCTTTGGATTAGGGAACCTGGGGAACAGATGGATGATGCGATTTAGTGGAAATAAGCCATTAAGGCCGGCTGGCCCTGCGCCACTGTTTGGATGCGATAGTATTCCATGTGAATGAACATGACCGGGAGCTTCCAGCTTGTCCACGAGAGCAGAGCTACCGCAGATAGCGTTGGTCGGTGTGTAGTATCCATCGACTTAGGCAATGATTTTCCGACATGTCTTGTTTAAAAAAGAAATACCATTTTTATTAAGAATGACATTCAGTGGTTGAACGACCTTTCATTAATGTATTTCCTCCTCAAATAACAGTCTAAGCCTACAAAAGTTGATGCAGGGTAAATTATACATACATTTTTAAAAAATCTAATGAAATAGAGGAGGATGGTCATTTTAGACGAGCTTCTGAGTCAGCAGTATGAAATCTCCCTGAACTTAGTACTGAGGCCTTTTGGGGATTTCTATATCTGTATCTATTCTCCTGTCCTGATCTGTATCTGTACTATACATGCTGTTAAGATACAGTGAGATATTCAGTGAGTGTCTGAGCTTGTGTTCTACATGTTTTGAGGACGATTTTACTTTTGCAGGTTTTAACATAATTTAATACTACTGGGTATAAGTGAAAATATGTAATACCTTACCATAACAATACTTTGTGTTCTCCTGAGTCTTTAAAAACAAGAATGAAGGTAATAAAAGTTTTGTTTTTGCTTTTTACTTTCTGTGTAATTTATAACCTTGTTATTTATAACCTTACTGATCAATTCTTTAACATAACTTAGATCACTGTTTTCCTTTTTCTTATCAAGGAAAAGTGTTTAAGCTTTTAAAATGTCATCTATCAAGCACTTAGTTTATGCTGTTATTCGTTTCTTACGGGAACAAAGTCAGATGGATGCTTATACTTCAGATGAACAAGAAAGTTTGGAAGGTAGGCACCTGCTCTTCCTGTTAATTTGTGTTATGATTGTAAACAAAGACTAAAATAACTGTAAGCCTGACTTTATGATCTATTATAACAAAATTAAAATATTTTATTGATCTTTCAAGAAGAGAGATTGTGTTTCCATTTTCTGAGGCTTGTTTTAATTAACAGCACAATATGAGGACAATTGTTCATTTATTGAACAACTGTTATGTGTCAGAACTATGTTGTTCATACTGTAGGGAATTTTTTCTCTATGGTAACTGTTAAGTTAGTATTATCCTCACTTAACAGAAAATGAAATGAAACCAGATAGATTAAGTGACATAACAGTGAAATGTGGCCAAGTTGAGATTTAAATCCTGGTTTTTACTCTGAAGATCTTGTCTCTTCCTAATAGGAAAGCATCTCGTTTAGAATCAATACCAGAAAATACCTTAGTCATCATAAAAGCAATATATTAACATGTAATAATTGCATCACAATTAAGCTCTGACAACTTTCTATTTGGCGATTTGAAAATGAGAGGATTTCACTGTTGTTTGTATGAGCTTTAAATATTAGACTTGGTAATCTGTGAAGTTGAACAGGACTTGGATGATAGCATCACGTGTTTCCCTGAACACCATCTTTTCTGCTTCACATTTATGCATTATAAGATTTAAATTCAGTATAACCCTAAAAAAAGGTAGAATTCTGCAGATAGGGTTGTGGAGGTTCAGTGAGTATAGCTTCCTTGTGGCCTAAAGACTTAATTATTGCAATGAGACAGTACATTTGGGAGAATTTAATAGATATCATACAATTTGATTTTGCCATCTTGAAATTATTTCTCCTATAAAGGGGATACCTCTATTAATTTCAGTAAGCACTTCCATTGTGAAGTGCTTTTGGTAAGCACTTCCATTGCTTTTAAGAGGTGGGGATGAAAATTGGGCATTTGCTCTAAATCTGCTTGCAATCTGGTAAGACACTGTCTTTCCAGGTGGCAGTGAGAGGAGCAGGTGACACACAGTTGGAGAACATTGCAGTTGGTTCATTTCATATTAAGATCTTTTTGTCCTCCTTAGTGGTTAAACTATGTGAAGGTAAAGGTGACTGGTTATCTAAAGAAAACATTGGTTATGGTTGTCCAGTAGCAAACAGATAAATACAATCATTTAATAGAAGATTTTTTTTCTAATCAAAGGCAGTATAATACATATTTCTAAGGACCAGAAAGAATATTGAGGGTTTTTTTTTTTTTAAATCAAGATGTTATGTCCTATTTTTAGGATGGCCTTCAGCCAAAAATATGTGCCTTCAGCTGTTTGTTATATATGGCAGCCAGAAATGGTGCCAATTGTTTTTGACCGACCCCTATTTTTGACTCTGTGAGTCTAATTTAATTGAGTATGAAATCATGTGAAGTCTGCCCACCTTCTAGACATTTAAAAAAGCCCTAGAAGAGGAGCCTCAGTTCTCGTACCAGCCTTACCATAGTGGTAAGTTTTTACAGTCTTATCAGCTTTGAGCTTTTTCATCAGAAAATGTCACCCACTCCTAATTGTTGTCATTTCCTGACATCTGTTTCATGTGCTCCTGCTCCCTGTCACTCTCTCTAGTACTAATCTGTCTGAATTTTTGGCAATTGCAATGACCTCAAAGGTGTTTCTTTCAGTTCTCTCAGCACTCTGTTCCTTGACCTGCTTGTCCTCCAGTGATCTCAACCGCTGAGCAGCATGGCCATACCCTAGACTAGTGGTTCTGAACTCAAGGTGGTTTTGTTTGGGGATATTCTTGACTATCACCACTGAGTGGTATTACTGGCATCTAGTGGGTAGAGGCCATGGATACTGCTAAACGTCCTATAATGCACAGTATGGCCTCCAAGAACAAAGTCCAAACTGCCAGTAGTGCCAAGGGTGAGGAACTGTTCCCTGGACCTTCTCATTTCTGAAACTGCATTCTCTCCATCATCTCTATTGTAAACATTTCACATCCTGACCAGCACTGCCTGTCTTTGCGGTTCACTCCCTACCCCAATAATTCTTTAACCCAAGAGTATCTCCAGTCTATTGATCCCTTACCCTTCACACCCTCTTCCATGGTTCATCATTATGTTCATGCCCTTGTATCTATCTCTCCCTTTCTTGCAAAACCTGACCTTTTTTAAATTCAGCTCTCCACCAGCTCTGTGTTCATATCCATGTGACTGTGTATAGATGGAGCAAACCATACAACTTTGCCAATTGGTTCCTCTTTGGATTCATGATCATGAGCCTCAAGTGGACGTTTAATGCTGCCTGGCAATCTTGCTGTCTCTTCCAAGTTCATGCACACTTTTGTTCTCCTAGACCACTACTTTAACACTTTTTCTCCTGTCTTCTCAAACCCTCAAATGACCTTCCCTATGCGCACTTTTAGTTGCTGACCTTGCTTCCTACTCCACCAAGAAAGTTCAAGTAATAAGAAGACAACTTCCACAGACTCCCCCTGCCCCATCTATCCGCACACCAGCATCTATACTCTCACACACTCTGCCTGCCTGCCCAGATATGGTCATAGTATGCCATGAACTAAATATTTGTGTTTTCTTGAAATTCGTATGTTAATACCTAACCCATTGTGATGGTATTAGGAGGTGGGGTCTTCCTGATCAGGGTTAGTGCTCTTCTAAGAGACCCCAGAGAGCTCCTTTGCTCCTTCTACCATGTGAGGACACAGTGAAGAGACACAGTCTGGGAACCAGAAAGCAGGTCTTCACTAGACTCTGAATTTGCTAGCCTCCAGAACTATGAGAAATAAATTTCTGTTGTTTATAAGCCACCTAGTCTATGGTGTTCTGTTAGAGCAACCCAAACAGACTAAGACACTGTAGATGAACTATCCACTGTCTTTTCTAAATGAAACCTCTCTCTTGACACATGGGATCTGATTCTATCCTGCCTCACCTCCGAGTTATCGCTCGAGTTATTCTACCCTTCTTGTCTTTCATCAGGAAACTTCCCTCTGTTCTGGATCATTTATATCAGAATATACTTTTCATTATTTCTCCCTTCTTAAAAAAGCAAAAATAACAGCTAATTACCCTTGCCATTATTATCCCACTACTTCCGAACTACTGCCTACTCTGATTGTCTTCTCCTTTTGCTGGAAAACTTTGAAAGAATTGTAGATACTTTTTAAAATTCCTCTCCTATTCTTTTTTTTTTTTTTTAAGATTTTATTTATTTATTTAACAGAGAGAGAGATCACAAGTAGGCAGAGGCAGGCAAAGAGAAAGGAGAAGCAGGCTCCTTGCTGAGCAGAGAGCCCGATGTGGGGCTCAATCCCAGGACCCTGAGATCATGACCTGAGCTGAAGGCAGAGGTTTAACCCACTGAGCCACCCAGGCAACCCCCTCTCCTATTCTTTTTTAAACCCATTCCAGTTAGGCCTTAGCCTCAGTCTTTCTGCCATACTGTTCTCATCAAGGTCATCAGTGATTTCTGGATTCTTTAGTTCAGTGGTCTGTTCTTAGTCTCCATCTGCCTTACTAGCTGCCATTGATAAAGTTGATGATCTCCCTCATCTTGCCCACACACCCCAGCCACTGCTGTACACTTGATTCGGTTGGCTTTCAGGCTACCTCCTCACACTCTCTTAGTTTTCTTCTTCTCTCATTGTTTGCTCCATCTGTCTCCTTTACTAGTTTCTCTTCTTTTCCCTGACCTGAAGTGTCCAGGGTCCAATGCTTGAACTTCTTCTCTTCACTATCTATCCTCAGTTTTTTGATGATATCGTTCCATTTCTTGACATTCAACCAAGACTGTCCTTCTGAACTGCAGATTTTTATATCCAACTGCCTACTAGATATCTCCACTTCTGTGTCTAATAGGCATCTCAAACTGAACATTTCCAAGACTGAACTCCTGATCCTCCCACCCAAAGTCTGTTCCTTATCTCAGTTGATGGCAGCTCTCTCTTTTCAGTTGCTTAGGCCCAAAACTTGGGCAGCATTCTGGACTCTTCTCTTTCTCTCAGATTCTGCATTTAATCATTTAGTAAATCCTGTTGGCTGTACCTTCAAAATATATCTAGAGTCTTACCATTTCCTCCCACCTCCACTGATGTCACCCTGGGTAGAATTAAGTGTTTTTCATCTGTTTTAATGTAGTGGCCTCTAACTGGTCTGTCTGCTTCTGTTCTTGCAGCTTTGTTGAATATTCCCAACACAGCCACCAGTGATCTTTTAAGACAGAGTGTGTCAGGGGCACCTGGGTGGCTCAGTCAGTAGGGCATGCGACTCTTGATTTTGGAGTTGTAAGTTCAAGCCTCATGTTGGGTGGAGAGATTACTTACAAATAAAATCTTTAAAAAATTTTTAAAAAGTAAAACGAGTATGTCAGATTCTGTCATTTCTCCACTCAAAATCTTGCAGTGACTCCTCATGTTCCTTAGTCATTTTTTTTTTAAGATTTTATTTATTTATTTGACAGAGAGAGAGATCACAAGTAGGCATACAGGCAGGCAGAGAGAGTGGGGGGAAGCAGGCTCCCTGCCAAGCAGAAAGCCCGATGCGGGACTCGATCCCAGGACCCTGAGATCATGACCTGAGCCGAAGGCAGCAGCTTAACCCACTGAGCCACCCAGGCGCCCTCCTTAGTCATGTTTTAAAGAATTCATATAATTTGGCCTTCTGTGATGTGTTGTTCACTGACTCTTTGCCTTTCTCATTTGACTTGAGCCAAATTAGCTTCCTAACTCTGAGTACACTATCTCCTCTTTCCTAAGAGCTTCTGCTATAGTTGTTTTTTGCTGCTTAGATTGTTACTACTTCAGAAAATGGTAATACCTTCATTGTCTTTGAATCTTGTAGGATCTCTTTTCTGAATGAGGCCTATGCTGGGTGCTCTTGTGTCTGTAGCCTGCTTCCCTGCTTTGCTCTCCACATTTAGATCTCTTTACGCTGCTCTACTTTTTATTGCTTATAGCCTACCTCTCCACCCCTGCCCCAAAATGTCAGCCCCAAGAGGTCAGGGCTCTTTTCTGTTTTATTCACTATGTGGTATATCTGAAGCATATAGAAAAGTGCCTGACACATAGTAGGTGCTCAATAAATATTTGTTGAATTGAATTGATGAATTGAGCCAGGTGATCCTGGGCCTATCACTCAGTTGGTCTGTATCTTAACTTCTCAGTCTGTTAGATGAGGCTGTCTGCCTCCTCTTCATCTGATAGATTCGTCAAGCGAATCAGAATCAGGGAAGGCAGGTAGCTAACGTATGGCAGCTTTTGAAATGGGATATGGTAGTGTTAAATAGAACTCTCATCAGTACCAAATGCTGAATAGAACTCCTCATCAGTACCAAATGCACAATTGTTTGTTGTTAAAGTAGAACAATAATTATATACAGTATTTGTTTATATTTGTATGACTTATTCCTGACTATGACCTCCTGAAAGGAGGACTGAATGTAATAATCCTTGCTTCATAAATGAATCTTGGAGTAAAAGATAAATTATTGCACTTAGGTTATTTGATTTTCTTTTTCTTTTTCTTTTTTTTTTGATTGGATGAAAAATGGTAATGAGGTAATCCTGAATTTTTGTCATACCCTCACCCCCATCCCAACTACTGCCTACTGTTTTTGTGTTCCTTTTTCTGGAAAACTCTTTGAAAGAGCTGTCTATGCTTGCCTTTTCTAATTCCTCTCTTATTCTTTTTTGAACCCATTCCAGTTGGGCCTTTGCCTCAATCTCTACAACCAAATCATCATCAAGGCTAAACACTTTGGCAACGGGGTTTACCTATCAAACAATTCTGTTTACTTATATAGGGAATCTAACAGAGTCAAAATCTTAGAATCAGGGAGTAGAGTGACAGTTGCTGATGCTGGAAAAGGAGAAAATAGGAGATGGTCAAAGGGTACAAAGTTTCCGTTATGCAAGATATTTAAGTTCTGGGAACTTACTAGTCTGCCCAGTGCCTATCACTAACTGTATTCTGTACTTAAAGTTTGGTAAGAAGATAGATCTTAGGTTAAGTGTTTTTACTACATACGTATACATGATAATAACAATGGTGAGAGGAAACTTTGGGAGGCAATGAATATGTCTCTGACCTTGACGGTGGTAATGGTTTCATGGGTGAATACTTATCCCCAAACTCATGGAGTTACAGACATTATATATAAACAGCTTTTTGCATGTCAACCATACTTCAGTAAAGTGGTTTGAAAACACACACACCAAATAATTGTGTTTAAGACAAAACAGATATCTCCTTTAATGATATTTAATTGTGTCTAGTATGTACCAGATCTTTGTTTTAAGATTAATGACAGCAGAGATAAAGGAGCTGGACTGAATTGCCTCAACAGGATAGAGCATAAAAATCCCTCAGGTTACCACATGGACTTTTCACCTGTCAGTGTTTAGCGGTAAAGTTACATACTCTGGGTTTTGGTTCTGGGCTTGGTTGTGTACTATCCCTCTTTCCCGTGTCTGTGCATTAATGTTTTGGAGGAGAGAAGTGCTTTTCTCTACAGGTTGTATTGTTGTTATTTCCTCTGCAATTAAACTATTACTTCCAATGTAAACTTAGGTGTAGATTAAATTTATTGAACACCTATTATTTGCCAGATATGTTAGTGTCAGAGATGAGTCAGATACAGTCCTTATCCACAGAGACTGTCTAATGTGGGAGACAGACATTTAAACATACGAAATGTAGCATGAGAAGTTCAATAATAGAAACAGGTACCAGCAACGTGGCACAGTAAAGGCAATGACAAGTCTGATCAGAGAGGAAAGATACTGATCAAGAATAAATATATACACATAAACACACATGTACATTTACCATTATTATTATTGTTATTGTTTACATGGACTGTCATCCTGGCAATGAGAGCCTGTTTCCTTGAGGCTGAGTGTTTTTAGTGCTGGTATGGACTGAAGTTCGAGAACAAGTGCTTGGCAAGAATAGAAATTGAGAGAATGAGAAAGGGTAAACAGTGGATTATGTTCTATGTAAAAGACACTCAGACTTCCTGTACTTGGTAACTTGTTGCTTATTCAGTCCCTTTTCTAAGGACAGTTGTTCTCTGGATAGAGAAAATAGTATTTTCATTTCTTTTATGACACAGGTATTTTTCTCAGGACCACAGTTAATACACAGTGTATCTTTTAAAAAGTCATATACAAATATAACTGAATCTGTAATAAATCTGACAAAGGATGATGAATACTGTATGATCTCTCTTATATATGGAAGCTCATAAACAAACCAAGCACAAAGAAGAGATTGGTGGTTTCAGCGGTGAGGAGTGGGGTGAGAGAAGTGAACGAATTGCTTTTGTGTTGTTTTAGTTTAAGTATATTGAGTGCAGATCATAATAAAACTCATCCGCAAATATAAGTGGATTTCCTCCACACTGTCTGGAAGTACACTGAACATTTGGGCTACATTCTCATTTCGGGAGCCAGGAGAGAATTCCTTCTCAAAGGAGAGCATCCCCAAGATGAAAAGCCGCCACCATTTCCCTCTGTGAGTACTCGTAGAAACAACAGGATATCTTTCTTCCCTGTAATTGCCCTGGTTCGGACCGCTTGTCTATTTAGATCACTTAGGTAGGAACCCTCCCTGATCGGAGGGGTCATTTCCTTTACTCTGTTATGTAGCTGGTACATATTTCTATTAGTGAACTTGTTATGCTGTATTACGTGCATTTAACTGTCTCCCACATTAGACTGTCTCTGTGAGGATAAGCCTTGTGTCTTATCCTTTCTAATGTCTAATCCATTCTCAGCATTCCTACCAGACTTTTAGTTCTAAACACAAATCCAGTTATATTATTCTCCGTTACTGAATTGTTTAATGGCTCTCTACTTGCCCACAGTGTGAAGTACACATTCTTTAAGAACGTTATGTAAGGTACCTTGTCATCCAACAACAGACTTGCTTTCTAGCATAATCTCCCACCGTATCTCTCCACCCTGTCTGTACCCTGGCCATATCTGTTATCTTGTCATACACCAAATGCAAACGACACACCTTTCACTGTTTAACATACCGTGTATTTTTGTGTTTGTCAGCCTTCTTCTCTTAATCATAAGCTTCATCACATGGGTAGCAATTTTTATCTTCTGATTAACTGCTGTATTAAGAAAGCACCTTAGGAAAGCACCTTGCACATAGTAGGTGCTTGGGATAAATTTGCAGGCATGAATGAATTTTTTTAAAGTCCACCTATCTTCACATAAGTAAATATACCAGCCAGTTTGTTTCTGTTACTCTTTTTGGTCAGGTTGAGAATTCTGTTTCTCACATTGAAAAAGAAGACTTTTTTGTTTGTTTTATTCAAGGTGGTTAATCAGATATTGGCAGAGAGGAGTCCGTTGTTGTTAATGACATACTTCAATAAGAATATGATGTAATGGCTATATTGAGAAATTATATTCTAGGTAACATTTTTTTCCTTAAGTAAGGAGGAAGAAATCAAGTTGTCTTCCCTTAGCAGCTGGTCTATAAACAGAAATCTCTATGTAGCTGAACCATTTAGTTTTTCCTTATGTTCTGTGATCATAAATACTGAATTACCACAGATTGCACAGAGTGCAGATTTCTACCAGAAAAAAAGGTCGCTTCTTTTTTTAGGTTGCTAATTTTTTTTTCACTATTCAAATTTATCTCAAGTTGCAATTCAGTGCTTGGAGACAGTTTTTAAAATCAGCCCAGAAGATACCCATCTAGCAGTTTCACAGCCTTTGACAGAAATGTTCACCAACTCCTTCTGTAAGGTAAGCTGTCACTGTTTTCTCATTAGTATCTGATTTAAGTATGACTACAATAATGATGTTGGGTTGTTAACATTTGAGGGGCTAGATTTTAGGTAACTAACTTCTTCCTAGGTGTAAGGTAGGTAGTACACATGGAGATGATTTGGGACCTAAAATATAACTTTTAAGAATCATCATTTTGAAGCAGATTTCATAAAATTTGACCATTGATAGGGCTCTTTAAGACAGGGGAAGTTTCAGGGTCATTGTGCAAAAACAATGCCAAAAACCAAATTTTCTGATATCCCTCCTCTCAAGAACTATTTATAATGGTCTCTGGTTTCTGGCCTTTTCAGGGAACATGGACCATAACATTGCCTGAAAAAAAAATTTTTTAAAGACAGTTTTATTTATTGAGTGATTGATTTGTAGAGAGACAGTATAAGCAGGGAGCAGTGAGGGGTAGAAGGAGAGGGAAAGAGAAAATCTTAAGTAGGCTCTACACCTAGTGCAGAGCCTGATGTGGGGCTCAATCTCACAACTTTGAGGTCATGACCTGAGCCGAAATCAAGAGTCTGACATCTTACCAACTGAGCCACCCATGCATCCCTTAAACTGTCTGAAAAATCTTAAGGTTACTGATTTTAGGGCCTTGGGGTGACCTCCCATGTGTTTTTTCATTACATTTTGGTGCCTTGTGAACTCCTTTTGTTATTCTAGTTCTGTATTCAAGCTTCGGTAGGGAACGAGGAACTCCGGAGAAGCCGAAGCATGTAGTGTATACTTCAGCCTGGCAGGGACATTGCTGATACTACCACATTGGCTGCTTCTAGAACTTGTTGGAAGAGGTTCTGAGAATTGCAGTGAAGATTGCAAGTTGGCAGTATTATCTTCCATCTTTCTATACTTGGAAAAAGGAAAATGCGGTTATCAGACAGATCAATACTAATTATATGACAAAGATGTAAGGAGATAGTGACATGTCTCTGTGTCCCCCATCAGAGAATTCCCCTTTGCTCTCCTTTGGTTGCTGTGATTGTCTGGGCTTCTGGCCTCCTTAGGGAACCCCATTGCAGTGGCTGGATATGCCCATGGTTGAAGCTGAGTTTATTTAAGTCCTAGATGCCCAAGAGGCTTGTCCTTGAGACAACACTTGGATTTGCTCATTCCTTAGCTCCTGTCACTGTTCACCTCATACTAAAGAGATCAGAATTTTTTTTTTTTTTTTACTTCCCAGGAGGCTCAAATTGACTTTTGTGCTCTGTTTAAATAGGGCTCTGTTTTCTTTCTCTCTCACTGTTTCCCTTTGATTATATTTAATTGTAAAAATTTTTTACTTACTATTTTTAAAATATAATTTCTTGGAATTGGCTGCATTGTGTATCTGCACAGTGTTATTTGTGGTATTAATCATTCGTTATTCCTATTTAACAGCAGCAACTTCATCACATACGTGTTTGTTAGGAGAGTACCTCAAAGAGAGTCTAAAACTTGCCTAAAGCAGCATCAAAATTGTTATAATTAAAGAAATTATGTCTCTATTTCACCATAAAAAAGAATGAGATCTTGCCATTTGCAACAGCATGGATGGAACTAGAGGGTATTATGCTAAGCGAAACAAGTCAGAGAAAGACAGATACCATATGATTTCACTCATATGTGGAATTTAAGAAACCATGCAAACAGCAAAGAGTAAAAAAAAAGAGAGAGAGAGAGACACACAAACCAAGAAACAGACTTCACTATAGAGAACAAACTGAGGGTTACCAAAGGGGTGGAAGGTGGGGGGCGGGGAATGGGTGAAACAGGTGATGGGGATTAAAGAGGACACTTGCGGTGAGTACCAGGTAATGTATGGAATTATTGAATCATTATATTGTACACCTGAAACTAAAATAATACTGTATGTTAACTAACTGGAATTAAAAACTTCAGAAAAAAAGAAATTATTCGTCTAAGTGTCCTTGGTTGTTACGTTGATCTATACTAAATGGATTCATTCCTTTTATATAAAGTAGATAACCCTCATCCCTACATTATGGGCTGCTCAAATGTATTCAATGAATATGAGAATTAGTTTTCAAAGATACAGAACTGTGGCAATTTCATTAAAATAATTCAGAAGGATTTAGAAGGCAGAATGGATTAGAGTCCATTTATCAATATGCCATTTTTTGTGACTCGAAAAAGCCACTTTTTCCCCATGCATTAACTGCCCAGGCTTATGTCATAGAAGAAACCCTGACAGCAAGTACTGCGGGGCAGTCCTGTGTCCTTGAACTACACTTACATCCTATGACCGTAGTCAGTTTTAAGTAGTGACCTCTAGTTACAAGGATTCCCGTTTCGACTCTTATTTTTTATTCCATTTTATTCGGATACTTTATGCTTAGAAAAACTGATTCGTAGAGAAAGATTACAAAAAATAAGAACAACTCATGCACTTGATGAATGATTTTATACTTGTGAAAATTTGTGTGTAAATAGGGAAGTATATTTGAATATTGGAGTTATCAAGTTCCTTGAAACTTTAGACAAGACAAAGAACCTGGTGGGTATATTCTAAATGTAGTACATAGGCACATTAGCTACAAATTATGTTTTCTTGAAAACTATAGGTTTACTCACGAACTTCAGAGTCAAGTGTAAAAGCAGCACAATTTTAAAAAGATCTTTCAAAAATGGAAAACTGCATTATGTTCCTGGTGCCACTCAAGATATTTCTGCTTGCACCTTTGGTTTGAACCTTATGAATGCAAAGGAGGTTTGAGGATGGTAGTAGCTACTGAAAACAGGAAATTTACATTGTTTTTTTATTTTATGATGAAATTAATATATGTCCACTGTTTTAAAAAATTTGGTCAACATGGAATGATATAAAGAAGAGACTGAAAATTTTACCTCCTTTTGTGTTAGACCTTTCCTGTCTTTGATTTTTAGCCTGCGTGCATGTATATGTGTGTGTGCCCGTATTTAAGTAATAGGATCATATTATTAGTGCTTCTTTTTGTAAACCGTGAATTTGACTTAGTGGGCTATCTCCTTAGATATTAAACATGTTTTAAGATTTTCACTAATATAAAAAAAATCTCTTAATATATTTCTATTCCTATTCTTTGTATACTGGTTATCTATTTATTTTACCAGAATTTAATAGAATTTATTAGAAATTTCAGAAAAAAATCTATACCTAATACCTAATTTGGATAACAAAATATCCTGTTTTTATTTTTAAATATAATGAATTTATTTTCAGCAGCATGTTCATTTAAAACAACAAAGCATTTCCATTCACTAAAAATGTATTTATCAATAAAATACTCAATAAACTTGTAGCATAAATGTAAATAGTCAAGTTATCTCCATTACCCATAGTATAATTTACCTTTATTTTATGGTTATAGTATTTTAAGTATATAAGTTACTTATATTTGTTCTGCATGAAGTAGGATTTTTTGATCTAGGAAAAGCAAATAAAAAACTTTGATTCACAGTAGCCCATTATCTTCTAGAGAAATTCTACATAGTCATTTTTCTAATAAAATTATGTGAGAGGACTATTTGCCTATTTCTTTCTAATCTTTTTATTTACAAGTTAAATTTCATCACATGTAATTGCAGATGAGTTACTGTAATGCAGGTTATTCATTATTATTTATGGTTCTGTGGGATGGCTCTTTTTTATGTAGCTAAATGGAAATACATTGATTTTTCTTTAATTTCAGAATGACGTTTTGCCTCTCTCAAACTCAGTGCCTGAAGATGTGGGAAAAGCTGACCAATTAAAAGATGAAGGTGAGGATTTCATAAAGAAATTACTTATTTAGTAAAACTTTCTGAAACTCTGGAGAAAATGACTCTGTCAGTTGATAAGATTCTGGTTTACACTGCCAAGCCTGGATTGTCATGAGACCACATGGTATTTGTGAAACAGAAATAAATGTGATAGGGAAAAAACCTAGAAACATAGAATGGCTTGTGAGCAATATAGTTGTGTCTTGTTCCAAGAGAAGCAGATCTGTCGTGAATAAGACCTGGAAAACAAGTCACTTAAAGGGAGATTACTTATAACTGAATTTGCTATGTGTACTCCAGGATACCAAATTCTTTTTTATGTTTAAAGAGATGAAAATAATTTTCAGTATTATTTTAACTCTTGTATATATTTACTGTTTTCGAATTCTTTGAAATTTGTTAATGCATGTATATGGCATGTAAGTATTAGCTAGCACATTTAGTTACTATATTACTACATCTTCTAATAGTGGCTCTTGAAGCATTCTTCGTACTATTAAATAAGTCACTGTTGAGGATCTGTGTTCAATTTTTCTATCATGTCATTTATGTTAAGCTATAGAGGAGAGTCAGGTCAGGCATACAAGATTTGTACTAAGAAGCTGGAGGGAAGTTTTGATATTAGCAGTAAATGAGAGCCAAGAAATTCCATGTCCTATAGGCAGAGAGTTTTAGGGATTATGCCATGTTCCGAAGCTATACAATATTGGTTCAGAACCATTTTTCTGGACTTTTCCTTACACCGAAAAAGGATGTTTACTTATAAAAAACCCAAAAAACCAAAAAACCCAACAGTTGATGTCTAAAATGGCAGATATGGGAGAGAGTTTTTCCTATTCCTTGGGCCTTATCTTCTCTATTAAGTTTATAAATACATACATATATCATTGTTTTTAATGGCCACATAGTGTTCCATGGTACTGTAAGACCATGATTTACTTACCTAGATGGATAATTTTGTAATCCTAAATAACATTATCTTAATGTCTTTGTTTGCATTTTTTACTACTGTGATTATTGTCGTAGGATTACATTATAAAGTTCTGTATTTCCAACAAATACACAGCTTTTGATTTTCCATTTCCTATTTTCTCTAAGAAATGTTAGTACTCCAGTGACTTAAAATTTTAGAATGATGTCTTTCATAGATTACATGCAAAAGTAAGCAACAACCAAGGGGCACCTGGGTGGCTCAGTCATTTAAGCCTTTAGCTCAGATCATGATCCTGGGGTCCTGAGAGTAAGCTCCATGTCAGGTTCCCTGCTCAGTGGAGAGTCTGCTTGTACCTTCCCCCCTGCAGGGCCCCCTGCCCCTGCTCATGCTCTCTCTCTCTCTCTCAAATAAATAAATAAAATCTTTAATAAAAAATTAAGCAACAATAAAAAAATTAAGCAACAACCAGATCCTTGTTGTCATTTGAGTCAAGAGTACTCTCCCACAAGAATTTGAATTTAGGCTATCCAGATAGAAATGCATTTTCCATATATTTAGTTTCTAATTGAAATAATTTAACCTGTTGTTATTTTTTTTTCTTGCTCAGAGTTTTGTAGTGTCTGAGATCAATGAGGATGATATTGAATAGATAGCAAATTGAAATTTAATTTTTGTCCATCATGTTTACTCCCTCTGCAGGAGATTGTGTTCCCCATACAATTTGCTATGATGTAGTGAATGTTGGTAAGAGGAGGATTAGGAGTCATTTACTGTTCCAGCATGGGTAACTGAACTACTCCTGCTTTCGCCTTTAACCAAAAGCTTTTATTCTTTGTTTTCCTTAAGACATATCATATCTAAGACACATTACACACAAAGTTAAAACAATTTTATTTTATTTTATTTTATTTTATTTTATTTTATTTTATTTTATTGAGACAGTGTACCTCGGGGAGGGGGAGGGAAAGGAGGGAGGTGAGAAGGAGGTGAGAGGGAAGGGCAGAGGGAGAGAGAGAATCTCAAGCAGACTCCACATCCAATGCAGAGCCCCACAAGGCCATTGTAGATTGTCAAGCATAAGGTTATTCCGGGCTGTGTGTTATACTTACCTGTGTTAATCAAGGCTTCTAGTCAGCTAGTACCTTCCTGAAAGATTGCTTTCAAATATTTTTGTGTTTGGTTTCTGAAAAGCTGCAATAAGCTCAGAAAAAACCAAGATGGTTTCATTTCTGTCATTTCCTCACACATCACAAAAGTCTAGGCATATCTTACAGGTCATCTTGATAATTAAAGGAGACAATTTTATAGGAGAGGACCACAAAAGCATAAATTGCTATAAAATGTTCATTTATATTTATCTTTACAAATTTCTTCATCTGTGTCCTGAATATTTGTACGTTAGATGTTTCATAACTTTAGGCTTATTGTTACTATACATAAATGTGTATATACATATAGTATGTAGACATTTGATGTGGTGGTGGTTTACAGGAAAAGACATACAATAGATTTTAATAATGTTAATAATAATGATATTAACAGTGCCACCCTACTAGTAAATGATCTGTCACAACTGCTAACTCAGGAAAGAATGAGTGAGCCCTGGTGCTGTTGCGGCCAGCTGCTCTGTCCTTGGGAACCCCAAAGGGACTGGACAGTCAGAGGCACAGCTCCTGGCTGCTTTTGCCAACATTGTCATGAACAAACTCAGATACACTCTTGCGGGAGTAGCCAATAACTCAAGAGAGGAGGGTTTGGAAAAGAGAAAGGTGGAATTTATTTCTGGTACCGGCTACCGAGGGAGGTGGCAGCTCAAGCCTTAACAACCCACCTATCTGCCTGCAAGGTGGACCCCTGGAGTTTTGCAGGGAGAGGTTTAGGGGAGTAGGTGCCAGAGAGCAGGCAGGGACTGCATGATCACGGCTGTGGATTAGTATGTTTTCAGCATGTGATCATGGACAGGGATGGGTACCTATGGTGTGTGGTCTTCTAGGCATTCTCTTACTATCAGTGCTTTTCTGGCCTGGCAGTGGGAATGTTCTGGTCATTACCCAACACCTTCATCGTTGCCTCAAGATAATGTGGTAAGAAATAAGCACAGTGGATTTCAGTTAGAGCATGAGTTAAGTGTCGTGTCTATTTCTGGTTTTAACTTTTGGGGTCACTGTGGCGCCAGAGGACTCCCTAAGAACCCAAGATGAAAAGGCCCAAGAGCAAAAAGAAAATCCACATAACCCAGAAAATTCCTTTGCACAGGAGAAACAAACCTATTTAAGTACCTAGGCTCATGTAGTTAATATTATCTTGCTCTGTCATAAAAACTATGTAATCCTCTTAGCTTCCTTAGAGGTTTTATAGTTGTTACTTTTGGGGGGTGGGGATCTAAATTAATTTTTTTTTAAACAGCTTTATTGAGGGTTGCCTTGGTGGCACAGTTGGTTGAGCATCTGAATCTTTGTTTCGGCTCAGGTCGTGATCTTAGGGTCTTGGGATCAAGCCCTGCCTTAGCTCTGCTCTCAAGGGGGGGAGTCTGCTTGAGATTCTCTCTCCCTCTGTGTGTCCCTCCTTCCACTTGCTCTTTCTCTGTCTAAAATAAATAAATCTAAAAAAAAAAACCCACAAAAACAAAACCCACCAGCTTTATTGAGCTAGAATTTGCATACCATACAGTTTACTCCTTTAAAGTGTACAGATTTTGGCGCCTGGGTGGCTCAGTCAGTTAAGCGACTGCCTTCAGCTCAGGTCATGATCCCGGAGTCCTGGGATAGAGTCCCGCATCGGGCTCCCAACTCCACGGGGAGTCTGCTTCTCCCTCTCACCTTCTCCTTGCTCATGCTCTCTCTCACTGTCTCTCTCTCAAATAAATAAATAAAATCTTTAAAATAAATAAAGTGTACAGATTCATTGGTTTTGTAGTATAGTCGTGGAGCTGTGCAACCATTACCACAATTATAGAACATTTTTATTACCCTAGAAAGAAACCATGTAGCTATTAGTGGAATCACTGTTTTTGTTTGTGTTTATTTTTTTAAGAGAGTGCATGTGTACCTGTGTAGGTGTGAGTTGGGGCAGAGGGAGAGCGAGAGAGAAAATTCTAAGCAGTCTCCATGCTCAGTGCAGAGCCCCAGGTGGAACTCGATCCCACACCCTGAGATCATGACCTGAGTGAAGACTAAGTCAGATGTCTAGCCAATTGAGCCACCCAGGTGTCTCTAGTAGTCACTCCTTATATGCATTTCTGATTCTTAATGTGCAGTAACTTTTCACATGATTTTATGTATTTATGTATTTGAGATGTGGGGAGGGGCAGAGAGAATTTTAGGCATTGAGCCTGATGCAGGGGCTCGATTTCAATCTCCATGTCATAGCCTGAGATAGTGACCTGAGCCAAAATCAAGAGTCAGACTTAACAGATGGAGCCTCCCAGATGCCCCACTTTTGCATGATTTTAGATGCTTTTGTCTACCTGCGTTTCCTTTAATCTTCCTGTTCCTGTTCCTTGTAAAGTTGTACTGTCCTCCTCCTATGAAGTAGCTAATGATCTGTTAAAAGACCAAGCTAATAGGAGAACTTCTGGTTTATTGGAATTTGGAAGGAATAATACAGACCTTTGTGATGTAAATCTTTCCTCTTAACCAGTGTTTTAAAATTTAGATTTTGAACAGTGGTTATTAATCAGTGAGCAGGACACATTCCATTTCAGGGAATACAGAAGATAGCCACAGGAAATCCCTTATTTTACTGGCTAGTTGTTACCCCAGCTAAATTATTTCCAGATGTATCCGCAGAGGCCCTTCTTGAAAATTAGTACCTGTGGGGTAGCCCTGGTACCTGAAATTCTGTCTTTGTAGAAATTCATGTCCACCTATCCCCTTTTAAAAATTTATCTCTGGAAGGGGTAGTGCATAAAAATATTATCTGCCAATAACATATTAACACGATTAATTTTACCAGTTTACCCACACAGCAGAGTTCTGAGGACTTGACTGTTTAGCAGGTGTGTGTTTTGACAGGGAGGACTGGAAGAGGGATCCAGATTGAGATGATGATTGAGAAGGGTGTTGTATCTGGAATGGGGTGGGCAGCTCTAAAAAGAAGAGAGAGATGAAGATAAGGAAGGTAAGAAGAGATTAGATTTCACCTAGATATTCATAATTATTGCATTAACTCACTGAAGCCTAGATTTCATAAGGTATGCAAACATTGTTTTATGACTTTGCATTGTTAAAAATCATTCAAACACTGATGACTGAGGAGTATGAACTGTATAGTACAATATAACTTTTACCTCTTAGTGCCATTGAAAAAACATGTTGAGGGGGTGTCGGTTGGCTTAGTTGGTAGAACATACCGCTCTTTTTTTTTTTTTTAAGATTTTATTTATTTATTTGATTGAGAGAGAGAGAGAGAGAGAGTTATCACAAGTAGGCAGAGAGGCAGGCAGAGAGAGAATGGAAAGCAGGCTCCCCGCTGAGTAGAGATGCAGGGGCTCAATCCCAGGAACCTGAGATCATAACCTGGGCTGAAGGCAGAGGCTTAACGCACTGAGTCACCCAGGTGCCCCAGACATGTGGCTCGTGATCTTGGGAGCCTGAGTTTTCAAGTCCCACATCGTGGGTAGAGTTTACTTAAAAAATAAAAACAAGAAAAATCATCTTATTGACCTTCATATTATTGTAGTTTCTGTGATTCAGATTTGTCTTTCAGACTTTCTATTTTTTGTGTATATTGTAGTTACTGTACATATTGATTATTTCAGGCAATAACCACATGAAAGAGGAAAATTATGCTGCCGCCGTGGATTGTTACACACAGGCAATAGACCTGGATCCAAATAATGCGGTTTATTATTGCAACAGGTAAACTAGCACTATTGTGGCAGGCTTGAAGTTCTTAAACTGTCATTTACATTAATAGCTCTGAAGGAGAACTGTAAAGTTCATTTTGAAAATTTTGAAAGTTCAGAAATGTATAAAGAAGGAAAAATAAAACCTCATAAAATTACCACTTAGAGCTAATCACTGTTACTCACCTTTGGCATATTTTGTTTAATGTGAGTATAATCAATTTCTGATTCATTGGTATTCAGTAGCCATGTAATAAACATGTCCTTAATTTGTTGAAACTCTTCATAAACACGATATAAATGTATATAAATCAGTCTATTTTTACCTCTTCATTTTTTTCATATTTCCAGTACCTATCATTGTGGCTGGCAAAAAGCACTCTTTTTTTATATAAGTGGATAAGTGTACCTTAATTTATTATTATTTTTTAATGTACCTTAATTTTACATAACTGCTGACCTACTGGACAACTTTGAGGTTGTTCATTTTTCTTCAGTGTGATGAAGCTGTAGTGAACAACTTTATTGCTCAAATTATTTTCTGAAATTTAGGTATTCTGGACTTTGGATTTTATCCTTGTACCTGCTTTCATTTGGGTTAACAGGAACTGGTTAAAAAAATATTGTTGATGCTAATTGCAAATTTGTTCAGATTTCTTTGAAAAATTTTGCAAACTGATTTCCTTCCCTAGGAGTGTATTAGTGTATATGTTTTTGCCATACCCGTTTCAGCACTAAGTACCTGAGTTATTGTTTATTGTTGTTAATTTAATATTACTTTTATTTTAATAGTAATTGTTTGAACTTATATTTACTTACTGTGAGGTTGGACATTTTTCAGATGTTGGGCATTTGTGGGTTTTTTTCTTTAAATTCTCTTTGTACCTGTGCCAGGCTTTAGCCTGTTTGACCTCATAGTTCTTTTTTCCCTTTTCTGCCCTTTTTGACAGAGGGTCTGGCCTTTATAGGTTGCATTTCCCAGGCTCCTTTGTCACCTCGGTGTTGTCTGGGTTCAGCCACAGAAGGTACTGGCAGGAGATTGGAGGGTAGAGGAGGAGAGAAGTTGGGGTATTCCTTCCCCTCTTTTTACAACAGAGTGTTTATCCAGCAGGGGCTGCTTCCCATTCTTATCTCCAGACCCCACCCAACACACCTGCTATGGGTCCAGCTTTTGGCAGGTGATGTTGGGTTTTGGACTCTGCACTTTGTCCTCTGTCTTAGGGATGGTAATGGCTTCCTCTTGTTCCTCATCTCTGGGTTGCTGCACAACGATGCCTGTTGGCATCTCAGCTCTTCTATTAACTATGTAGTGAATTCCCTGAGCTAAATTAATCTGTTTTATATGTTAAAGTTCCAATAGTACTTCTGCAGTGATAGAAATGTTCTGTTTCTGCCTTCTTCAATACAGTAACCACTAGCCAGAGTAGCTTTTGACCATTTGCAGTGTAGCTAGTGCAATTGAGAAAGTAAATTTTTAGTGTTTAATCAATTGAAGAGCAATTTAAATTAATTGAATTGCAATAGCCACATGTAGCTTGTGGCTGCTGTCCTGTATGGCATAGCTGTATATTAAAGATATAATCCATTTGTCCTAATTGCACAGCCTTTTGTTTGCCTTTTAATGTTTTTATATGTAAAACTTTTAAGTATTGGTGTAAGCAAGTTTGTTTTTCCTTTCTTTTGAATATTCTTCTGATGCTTTTAATCTTAAAGCTCTCCCCATTTGTGGACTTGACAAATAACTTTTCTTATTTTTCCTTCACATTTATTTATTTATTTAAAAGATTTTATTTATTTATTTATTTATTTATTTGACAAAGAGAGAGAGAGAGACAGTGAGAGAGAGAGACAGTGAGAGAGGGAACACAAGCAGGGGCGGGTGGGAGAGAGAGAAGCAGGTTTCCCGCTGAGCAGGGAGCCCGATGCAGGGCTCTATCCCAGGACCCTGGGACCGTCACCGGACCTGAAGGCAGACACCCAATGACTGAGCTACCCAGGTGGCCCTTTCCCTTCACATTTAAATTTTCTCATTGCAAGTGTGTTTTGGTGAACGTTATCTGGAACTTTTCATGACAGAATATAAAAATTGCCTTAAATATTAAGTTCTTAAATTTGGGAGAGATTATCTTTCATTGAGCTACCATATCATGTTTAGGGTATTCATACCCTTGTGAGGTCATCCCTTCTCCCTTGCCTTTTCTTTTCTTTTTTTAAAAATTATTTTGTATTAATATATAATGTATTACTTGTACCCCTTGGTACAGGTCTGTCAATCATCAGTCTTAGACAATTCACAGCACTCACCATCTGCACATACCCTCCCCAATGTCCATGACTCAGCCACCCTCTCCCCTGCCTTTTCTTTAGGAAAATCTTCCTTGTGTTGACACTGAATTTGTTTTCCCAAAACCCCTGTAGCTAATCTCAGTTGACAGTTCTTATTTTTATTCTTGAGAGCAATTACAGAATGATCCTTCTTTTTCATAATAGTACCTTACACTTTGAAGTTTGTTACCCTGTTCACTTGAGTTCTTTTCTCCACATTATATGTTCGTAGCTTCTTCAGTTACACCTCAGATAATACAGTTTTATGTTCTGCACTTTTGCTCTAAATTTGTTCTAGTTTACCTGTATGTGTAGTTCCCAGGAATTTACATGGAATTTCTGGAATTTGCCTAACCACAGCAGTCTCATAGGGCTCTCATTTAACCTACTTCTAGATAACATAGTTATATATTTGCATTTTGTAGCATTATTTATTAAATTCATATTTTGCTTTTGGCTCGTTAAAGTGTCTCTGTTTCACACATTCTCTTTATTTTGTCATTCAATCATATTTTGATTTGATAAATTCTTGCCAAACACCTGCTGTGTACCAGTGCTGTCACTGGAGGTATAGTTGGTTTTCTGTACTCAAATGCAGAATCTTTTATTTTATCCCTAGAGACTTTTATCTTGTTATAGACTCTTATGTGTATGACCCTTAGTCTTTTTGGATAATTTGTAAAGTAACATATTTGCTTTTGCTCCTAGTTTCATATCATCCATAAACTTAAGGATGCCATATATTATATTATGTCAGTTATGAAGTCAACTAAGAGAGAAATCACAGGGAAGTGGTTAAGAGCAGGGGTTCTGACCCAGACTCTTTTGAATTCTGATTTCTGGCGCTGACACTTACTAAGTATGTGACCTTGAGCAAATTACCTACCATATGCATGCCTTAGTTTCCCCATTAGCAAAATATGGATAATAGAATCTACCCCATAGGACTTTTGTAGAGATTAAATAGTTAATACATATGAAGTACTAGGAAGCTGTCTAGTAAAGAGTGTTTTACACAACAGTATTATTATTGTGTAATAATACTATATAATTGTGTTATAATTATATATCATTAATTATATACTATATTAACTAAATATTATTTATTATATCATTAATTCTGTTATAATATATTTAATATTATCATTATTATCTATGCAATCTGAGTTTTTTTGCTTTGATCAGAATATGAAGAAAGACCCAAATTTATTGGTGTCCAAATATGTTGTCAGTTGTCTTTCTCTGTCTTTCTCTGATTTACTAGTCTGGTAGTAGGCCTATTAAAATAAGAAAGGAAATGATGTTAGGCAGGAGTTGCTCTGAATGAATCTATGTCATTTATCTTCTTTTTTTGGGTAGGGGGAAGGTCCTCTTAAATTTTTTGAAAGACTTTGAACTTGAAAGAAGTTTACAGTAAATACCTTTATATCCAGCCACACCAAGATTTTTGCCTTTAATATTTTACTATATTTGCTGTGTCACATGTTTTTTTACCTATTTGTACCCCCCTCTGTTCATTAGTCTGTCTTATTTTTGAAGCATTTCAAGGTAAACTGCACCCATCAGTACACTGTCCCCCTAAATACTTCATCATGCATGTCATTAATAGAGTTCTGTATTTTGCATTTTTTTCCTTTGAGGTAAAATACACAAGTCATAACATACACAAATCTTAACTGCACTTTGCCTGAGTTTTGACAAATGCATACAGTTGTGTAACACAAAACCCCCATCAAGCTACTGAAAATTATGCGTGCCCCTTCAGAGTCAGTTGCCTAAAACACCAGAGGCAGCCACTGTTCTGTTTTGTTTTATTTACCTACTACAGATTAGATTTGTTTCTTTGAGAGTTCCACCTAAAAGAAATTGTACCATATATACTTTTAGGTGTGTGACTGTTTTTGCTTAGGTCGATGGTTTCGAGATTCACTGTGTTGTTGCTTGTCTCATTGGTTCTTGTTTTTAATTGCTCAGGCATCCTCTACTGTTGGCATGTACACAGTTTACCGAGATGTTTTCCTATTTATGATCATCTGAGTGCTTTTTTTTGTTTGTTTGTTTTGTATTTTGTCCAGAATTTGTAGTTATTATTTGTGGAAGATCCTTATGGATCCAAAAGGAAGTTAGTTGTCCATACTAGAAATCTACATTTCCTTTACCAAAAAATCCCTTTATTAATGTGTCCTAATAATCTAGCCCAGAAAAATTAAAAATCCATATACTTTGTGCAAAATGAACTTTGCAAGCTGTGTGTTTTATTGTCTGTCATCAGATGACAGAGATATATGTTTTAATTTAATTTGTTTTAATTTAACATGAAAATTTTTAATTTAACATGAAATGTTTGAAAAAAATTAATAGTGTCACTAAATGTTATGAACAGATATAGATGTTATCAGAAAATTGCTTGTTTATAGACCACAGTAAGCCATACACTTTTAACTGTGAATATGGTAAATTGGAGCCTAAATAAATCATTTACTTCAAATGAGATTAGGGTTCATGAATAGTCTTATGTTTACTAGTACTGGATTAAAAGAGATTCTTGTGCTTGCTTTTCATTTATCTGTCATTAAGTTGAAATCAATAATCATGCTCATCTTTTTCATTTAAATAGTATTTTTTCCCCTGAGGAGTTCAGTAATAGAGCAAGCAATTTAGTATTAAATAATTAGAAAACTTTATTTA